TCTTTCACGTGGGTACAAATGATGTCACAACAAAGAGTCTGAGGTCAATCAAATGAGACTTCAGAGCCCTGGGAAGAATGCTAAAAAATTCAGGAGCACAGGTAGTGTTTTCCTCAATCCTCCCAGTAATGGGGGGAGACTTTGGAAGAAACAGGTGAGCCCAGGATATCAATACCTGGCTCCAGGAGTGGTGCCTGTGCCAAAACTTTGGGTTTTTAAACTATGGAAGAGCCTTCAAGAGACAAGGTATGCTGGGGCCTGATGGGATCCTCCTGTCCTGATGGGGAAAACGCATCATTGGGCTTAAGCTGGCAGGCTGATTTTGAGGGCTTTAAACTAGAATTTATGGGGGAAGGGGATACCTTCAGCTCTTCTGTTGGTAAGCCAAGGGTTGGCATGCCATCACCTGAGGGTGGCAATGCTAGTGGGAACACTTGCACTGTTCCTGGGAGCACAGAGGGCTCAGGAGCATAACTGAAGTGCTTGTACAACAACACATGCAGTATGTGAAACAAACAGGATGAACTGGAAGCTTTGGTCAGTTCCCAGAGCTACGATATCATTGGTATTAGTGAGACTTGGTGGAATGAGTCCCACGACTGGAGTGCTGGGATGGAGGGCTACAGGCTGTTCAGGAGGGATAGGCAGGGCAGGCGAGGTGGAGGTATCACAATGTAAGGGAGGGCAGGGCAGGCGAGGTGGAGGTATCACAATATATGTAAGGGAGAGGTTTGATTGTACAGCCCTTACAGTTAGCAATGATGTGGTTAAGAGCCTCTGGGTGAGGATCAGGGGGATGGAAAACAAAGGAGATGTAGTGGATATCTACTACTAATTGTCCAGCCAGCATGTAAGCACTGATGTATCTGTCAAGAAGAAGGGCTTTTTCGAAGTATGTTAATAGCAAGAGGAGGTCTAAAGAAAACATTGGACCAATACTTCTTGAAGATGGTCACCTGACTAATAGGGATGAAGAAAAAGGAGATGCACTCAATGCTTTTTTTGCCTCAATCTTTAATAATACGAATAGACATTGGGCTGCCCGGTCCCCTGGGTCGGAGGACCCTGAGTGTGGGAACAGTGACTTCCATTTGTGGACACTGAAATTGAAGGGACCAGCTGTATCAGCTGAATGTTCGCAAATCCATGGGGCCTGATGGGATTCATCCCAGAGTACTGAAGTAGCTAGCAGGACCCCTATCGATCATCTACCAAAGGTCTTGGGAGTCTGGGGAGGTCCCTGCTGACTGGAAGCTAGCCAATGTTACTCCAGTCTAGCCTCAGTACATGGAAAAATTATGGAGAAGATTATACTGGGTACTGTTGCAAGGCATTTAAAGACTAATGCAATCCTCACACAATCAACATGGGTTCGCAAAAGGTTCCTGTTTAACTAATTTGATCTCCTATGATAGGGTCACTCGCCTAGTGGATGAAGGGAAGGTGGTAGATGTAGTTTTTCTGGATTTTGGTAAGGCTTTTGATACTGTCCCTCACAGCATCCTTCTGGACAAGTTGTTCAACTGTGGGATGAGAGGGTTCACGGTACAGTGGGTGAAGAAGTGGCTGAACAGCAGGGCTCAAAGGATTGTAGTGAATGGGGCTACATCTGGCTGGTGACCAGTCACCAGCGTTGCTTCTCAGGGCTTAATTCTAGGGCCAGTTCTGTTCAATGTATTTATCAACTATCTGGATGCAGGAGATGAAAGCATCATTAGCAAGTTTGCTGGCAATACCAAACTGGGAGGTGCTGTTGACTCTCTTGAGGGAGAAGAAGCCTTGCAAAGAGATCTCGATAGGTTGGAGCATTGGGCAATGATGTATGGGATGAAATTTAACAAGTCCAAATGCTGGATTCTGCACCTGGGATGGAGTAATGCCGTCTGCAAGTATAGATTGGGAGAGGAGGTGCTGGAGAGCAGCCCTGCAGAAAAAGGGATCTGGGGGTGCTGGTTAACAGCAGGCTCAATATGAATCAGCAGTGTGCCCTGGCAGCCAAGAGGGCAAACCACATCCTGGAGTGTGTCAAACATAGCATAAACACCTGGTCAAAAGAGGTGATTATCCTGCTGCATTTAGTGTTGGTGCAGCCTCACCTTGAATACTGTGAGCGGTTCTGGACCCTCTACAGCTTCCTGAGGAGGGGAAGTGGAAATGGAGGTGCTGATCTCTTCTCCCTGGTATCCAGTGATAGGATGCATAGGATTGGTTCAAAGCTGAGTCAGGGGACGTTCAGACTGGATATTAGGAAGCATTTCTTTACCGAGAGGGTGGTCAAACACCAGAATGGGCTTCTTAGAGAGGTGGTCGATGACGCATGCCTGTCAGTGTTTAAGAGGTGTTTGGACAATGCCCTTACTAATATGCTTTAACTTTTAATCACCTCTGAATTGGTCAGGTGGTTGGGCTAGATGATTCTTGTCGGTCCCTTCCAAATGAAATAGCCTACTGTAACTGTATGGTTTGCTGGTGGTCAAAATCAATTAGTGGAGGAAAGAAAGCATGACTAGTTTGCAGAGGAGAGAGATATATCCTCTTGTGGTTTAGGCTGAATCGGCCATCGGGTGAGCAACATTTACCCTCCTCTACCCCTCTTCAAAGAGAGAGGCAGAGGAGGGAAAAAGAGAGATGAGTTTGGAAGGAACTAAACTAATTTAATGAAATATTAATAATAAAATAAAAGGAAATAATGAAATATATACAAAACCGTATCAAGCTCCCAGGATGACCATTGCATCACTGGCTGGCACTGGGGAAGTGCCAGGCTGGACTCAGTGACGGACGGGAACTGGATTCAGGATCGGGATCAAAGGCAGATGAACAGACAGAGTCCTCCTCAGATGTCGGCCATTGAAGAAAGAGCACGCTCTGACCCTTTGATCCCCCAGCTTTTATACTGAACATGAGGCAGATGGGATGGAATACCCTGTTGGTCAGTTTTGGGTCACCTGTCCTGTCTGCTCCTCCCCGTAGGTGAGACCGCTCTATGCTTTTCTGCTTCTGACCCTCCAATGGGGTAAGTAACAAAGTTAGCTGGCCTTGGTTGTTATAGCAATAAGTATAAGCAAGAGCCTCTCT